AAAAGATAATATGAAATCCACCCCTGGTGTCATTATGTCTGTCACTCCTTGATTCTACTTGTTTTGACTGTTCAAATGAGATGCCAACCATCAAAATTGGATAAGGGGTTCCAGAGATATCACTGTGCAAAACACACCGGTCAATTTTGACTGAAAATAGCATGGGAAGGGGGGTATGACCTAACGCAAGAGAAGGGTTAAGGAAGGGTGAGAGTGATGCATTTTAATTCCTCTCGGTCTGAGGTGTTCCTGACCGAGAGCGGACTCGGGCCATGTCATAAGCAGTGTTGGTTTAACGCGTTACAAAAGTAACGGAGTTACAGTAATATATTACTTTTTGCTGTAATGAAGTAATGTAACGCATTACTAATTAAATGTGGGTAATATATTATGCCCAGTAACGCAGTTACAACACATTTTAACCAGAAATTAAATGGTGTTTTGTTTTTTAAGAATGTACTAACATCGCAAGACATTCCGACACCAGAGACAAATTGTGCGGGTAGATTAGTAAACCTGGTGTTTACCCTTCAGGCTTCGCGTCGGGATCTTCGGGGGTGCATAGGCATGCATTGCACCCCCAGTTGAATGTTATGCACCCTCTATTAAAAAAAGAGAACGGAGCGAAAAATACAAACAAATTGTGTTAGGTGCGCGTGACCTGCTCCGCTGCGCGTGCATCATTTCCAAAGTGCTTCCACAGCAGTGACACACATCTGTGGATAATCATTAATACGAAAATGGTTAAAGCAACCATCACTAAACGCCAGCAACACTGCATCTACTGCAGACAGTAGCAACAGGTCAGAAGGGGACATCGTTACCCTCCGTTGTGGACACTAGCCCATACTTGCCAACCCTCCCGATTTTCGCGGGAGACTCCCGATTTCATTGCCCTCTCCCGGTTTCCTCCCGGGGTCATATTTCTCCCGCATTTCTCCCGATTTCTGACAAAATCAGATTTACTCAGGACTGTTTCCACTCGGACTTTAATACAACTACACCATTGTTTGGTTTTCATGGTGGGTGTCTCTTTAGTCACAGAAAACAGAACAAGAATCGACAACTCTACCCTCTGCTCAATCCTTTCCTGTAAAGGAAGGTCCAGCCCACACACATATGCTCCATCAAGGATGGTGCTACAGGCCGCAAGGCATTGCATTTAGAACTACAATAAGCATGTTAATGTTAATCTAACAGCTCCGGCGATCCACTAGTCAACCTCACATGGTAATGTGATACCAGTTTTCAAGCACAGTAAATATTCTCTTCCCAGAGTATATGATGGGAAAAAGGTGATGATTTAGTACATGGTTTTAATAATACTTTTACTTTTCAATGTTTGCCATTTCAAACCATCAGCTGGTTCAAATAATATTTGCCTTGATTTACAATATGTTCTCATTTGTTTTATCAGTACAGTTTTGAAGCTTTTGTGCTTTTCTTTGCCATAGTCCACTTTGGACTATATGAAATATTTCAGGATTGCACTTTAACCCACTTGAAATGTTCTCACTTGCTTGGTTTCAAAACATAACAAATGCCATAATCTGTTCATTGGGGACCATCAATGCTATTTTTCATTGCTGTTGCCACTATTGCTCATGTAAACCTACTACTGCTGCGCCCCCTATGATCTCAGAGGCACCCTGAGTCATTTTGTTCTGGAACCGGGCCTGCACACGGCCATATACTAAACAAAATACAGAGCCCATTCCGTGTCCTGTTATTGTTTACTTCCTCTCTACCTTCTTCTGGTGATTTATCTGACGTCCAGCGCTCCGTCTTTTAACCTCTTTTCCTTTCTCTTTCTTGATCCTCCTTAGCAACCTTCATTATAGTCCTTGACAGTGGTCTGTACTGCTGGATTAACAATGTGTCACATGTTAAGAATTTACAATCAGAATCGAGTATTCAACTAAGCCGTGTAATACAAGTTGTTAGTAGCCTTAAGGGCCTACACAGTTGTTATGCTATACCACATCGCCCTTCACTGGATGTATAATGAGCTGCACTAAACTACATTTTAGCATTTAAAATACCTAGCCATTCTTTTGCGGTTATTTTGGTGAAAGTAACTCAAAAGTAACTAAAGTAGTGTAACTCATTACATTTCAGAGACAGTAATATTGTAATGTAACTTATTACTTTCAAAAGACATTTTGGAAGTAACTTGTCCAACACTGGTCATAAGTCATCCTGAAAGTAGCTCTGTAAAAACCAAGTGGAACTCAGACACATTCTGTCTGTCCAGAAGACAGGAAATGATACCATCAGCCACAGAACCCGGCCATTAGCAGGCAGAGAGATCAGGATATAAGGCAGAATTGCAGTATTAACTAGAGAATGCAATTCCTGAAGAAATTGCTAGTGGGAATGCTTTATGCTGAAAAGCTGACGCTAAACTGCTATGCTGAAATGTAATGTGTAAGAAGAAATTTAAGAATTTAGATTGAAATGATACATGAACACTGGGGGCTTGAATGTGTGATGAGAGAAGAAAAGAAAGTAAAAAGGCTAGGAAAAGCAGCAGAATATTTGAACTGCAAACTTTTGAACTAACTTGATGGTGAATGATCTGTTGCCATGCCAACGGCATTTGATGACATCCCATAATACGCTTAGATGTGTTGATGGCTGCATCGTTACCAAACCTGTGAAGTTTTGGGCCATTTGGAGCATTTTCACTGAAGTTATGAAAAAACCGTGTTTCATGGTGAGCATTGTGTTGCCATGGCAACGGCATTTGAAGAAATCTCAAAACTGTCCCGTAGATGCCTTCACGGCTGGACTGTTAGCACACATGTGAAGTTTGAGCACTTTTTGAACATTATAGCGACATCGTCTTTTATGGCGAGGGATGCGTTTCCATGGAAACGGCATATGGTGAGACCCCATAATTGACGTAGAGCTGTTGAGGGCTGGATCCTTAACCATTATCTGAAGTGTGGTGCTGTTTTGACCCTTTTCATAAGCGTTACCACAACATTGTGTTTTATGGCGAGGGATGCGTTTCCATGGAAACAGCATATGGTGAGATGCCAGATTTGACGTAGAGCTGTTGAGGCATGGAGAGGTGATATACAGGTGAAGATTGTGGGACGACCGGACCATGGATGCTTGGTCTCGAGGTGCCTCTTCAATTTGGCAGGCTTCATCGCCTCATTGGCAAGACACCGCAGGCATATCAGACATTTCGGTTTCCCTTCCACTTCAATAAATCCATATTGGAGATACTCCTCATCGTATTTCCTTACTTTTGTTTTTTGTTTTTCATTTACTTCATTTCTAGCCGTAACCGGTCGTTTTAAAAATCTGTCCATCTTCGTAGTATGCTAGCCGTGTTATATCTCTATGATGCTAGCAGCGGCGCTCTATGACTGACGTACCAGTTATTGTTGTTTCCATGGTAACGGGTGAGGCGCTTGATTTTTAAATGTATAGATTTGTTAGATTAGAACGTAATCTATGAACTATTTTAGATTAAAAAAAATAAATATTATTTGTTGAACTATGAAGCCTTTTGTGAAGAAAAAAAAATGATATGATAATTTAAATTAATGAATCTGAAAACGTTTCATGGACCCCCTGGCAGAGTGCCACGGACCCCCGGGGGGTCGCGGACCCCACTTTGAGAACCACTGCTTTAAAGGGTGTCTGTGCCAGCATTCCCAATAAACGACAGGTGACTTGACACAGAGGCCGCAGAAAGCTGTGACGTTGTTTTCTTTTGCTGTGAAATTTGACATCTTTCCTGGAAATATGTACAAGAAAATAAATGTTATTTACTCTATTTAAATAAGTAGGATATATCAGAAAAGTCCTTTAAATATAGTTATCAGGGTCAAAGTGTGAGATATGCCACTGACCTTTACATCCTTCTTTGTATGAGAAGGAAATGTTGTCTTTATTTATCGGCAATACCAAAAACGTGTTGTTTACAATCATTCGCAAACCAGTAACCTCTCTTTGCCTGACACACAACTCACCAAATAAGTCTGCACTCAAGTTCTACATTTGTCAAGAATGGCCATTATTCAAATCAATTGCAACATTTTCTATGACGCTCATGTCTATAATGCATTAGCATCTGAAAATATCGATGTGTCATTATAGTTATGCATCATATTTCACAAATATGTATTACTTCACTTTACCTGACGGTTTGATAATTTCCTTAGAAATACTAAAACATTATAATGTAACATTTATTTTGAATATCAGTGTGATACCTGTTCTTACTCACATAGGAAGTGTTACAAAATCATCCACAAAATCAAGCCAGCAACTCCGATAACCTATTCTAACCAATTAACCTAAAATGTTAATCTAATTCATACATTGTTTTAGATATTAACTTGAAAGGTAAAGTGTACACATTTGAAAGCACTGACCTTCTCCTGGTCTGAGTTTCTTGCAGTTGATTCTGTACACTGCAGGAACTCCAGCTTTAATATCAGCACTCACAAAACACCTGTATCACCTGATGATCAGCAACCAAATAATGTCTATGAGTATTTTGATGGCATGCAAAACAAATTCATATGTGTACATGATTTGACTAAAGAGGGTAAAGTGTTGAGATGTTGTTGAGATTACAATTGACCAAGATAGAATAAGAAACCATGGAAATATGGAGTTGTATGTAAAATACAATTTCTTTGAATTTTTTTGTAAATGTTAGAGTAAACATTTGAATAAAACACGACACTGAAAAATAAGCATTAGTATTAAGCAGAAGCAGTTATTTTATTTTCAACAATTACAACAACACAGGTCTAAAACGTCTCTTTGTAATTGGACAAAGAAAATATACCACGTTGCTGGAGCATTTGATTAAACAAGTCCACAATGATTGATCAAAGCCTGAGCATTAAAATGTATCAGCATAGAGAAAATAAAGCCATGTTTAACACCGTGTAACTAATCCATTTATGACAAGCTAGTTAGAAGGTTTAACGATGGACATGGTATTTTCCATTTGTTGGAGCAATACAGCTTCATTTCAAATGCATAGCTTTGCAGTTCAGAGAGCTATGGACCCCTGCACTCTTCAAGACAAAGACAACTTTACAATTCTCCAGACCTGGAAATGTGTTCTCTCTGTTTATCTCAGTTATCTCGAACCTCTCGTAGGGAGGGATGAGAACCTCTTCCTCTTTAGGAAAGACTGAATATTTTTCCAGCGCCTAAACAGGTCTCAATTTTGAAGCAGGTCTTAGTACCGAAGTTCATCAAGCCTGGTTTGATAGATGTTGAGGCAAAGGAGCCAAACCGAATTATTTGGTTGACTTTGCCAGTAAATAAATCTTTGGATCGTCTGAAAGTAGAGTGACAGGGGCTGTTGTTATTCAAGATCTGTATGGCAGATGTCAGCAGGTAATGTAAAGAGTGGTATTTGAATGAGGAGAGATAGGATCTCCCTTCTGTCCGGACTGCAGTATTAAATTGCTTGTACACATTGTTAGCTGTGTAAACACAGATTGCCCTAATGTGATCTATGGTTAGAGCCGTATCCTCTCTCGGATTAATTTCCTTTTCTGCACAAGATTTTGAGTCACTCCAGTGTATTCCAAAGTTGTTCACAGCTTTTTCTTCTTCAAGGAATCTGTCCTTCACTATTGTCATCATTTTGTCATTGCAGCCAAAATACATGTCATCAACCGAATCTTCAACCATGCTCAATTGGTTCGCCTTTTTGGCCCATTTGAAAAATAAGATCCCCTAAAAAACAACAAAGAGAAAGATGAAAACAAACATCATTAAACCAGCACTGTTAATTAAAACTGTACTGTATAACAGTGTCTCTTTTAGAACCTTATTTAGATGGGGAAAGTTGTCAAATGAGTTACGATTGGGAGCAGGCTTGAGGCTTGAGAGTAAACTCAAATGCATCACTTAGTAAATGATGGTATCCTAGTAACACTGCCACTTTAGCACTTGTACACACTCATAGTAGTTCCTTAAGAATAAATTAAAAAAGGAGACCAATTATACCCATGCAACAACTTCTTTGATGCAAAATGCAGGTTCTAATAATGATAATTTGTCCCAACCAGATCGCATTAAAAGGATTATTCAAAAAGTATAAATCATGTTTTTCCCAGGCTTCCAAAGAACACATTATTCTAGTTTCACTGGTGAGATGTGTTTATAGACATATATGAACTTGATCTTTAAAACACCCACTTCCACATGCTCAACTCACCGAGTCAACAGGCATCATCCAGCAAAGGAGTAGACCCAGTGTAGCAAAGGTCCACATGTTGCCCTCCATCGCTGCAGTCAGGACATCTGTTGAATCCAAGCAGATACTCAAAGCAAGTCACAAACAATGAGCTGCATCATCATTCCAGTAACACAGATACGTTAGGACAGCGGCATGGCAAATGCAACAAAACTATTTCAGAAACAAGTTATGATCAAAATATGATTTAAAAGTTCAACTCACCAGCCTTAAGGATGGGAAGATGCACTAGGTGAAGTCCTCAGGTCAAAGGTTTCAGACAACCGGTCCTCAGCATGTGTTCAGGACTCACGGTCAACTTTATATATACCCTGCCTTCATGATGGGCAGGTCCCACATTTGCAAATTCCCTCATCGTCGGCAGTTAGGAAGTGTCATATTATAAGGAAGGGACCGTTTTGCAAGACAGAAATTACCTTATCTTAGAAATGACCTTATCTTATACCGTATCTTTAGACGCTATCTTAGAGTATGGTCAGGCATTCACACAAGTATTTGAATTAACCTTTAGTTATATTTGTACTCTAAACTTTTTAAAGAAAAGTTTTATTTTTGGATTGACTTGTGTTTTCTTTCACTTGTAAATAAATACATACTTTGCATAAGTCAGGTAAAAGTCTGTGCTAAACGAATTCACATAATTGAAAGTAAAAATGGCTTTCAGACATAAAATTATTGTTCCTCTAATATTTGATATATTAACTTATCTTGGATTACATTCTATCCCACTTTTTTATTTGTAAGATATTATTGATTCTATCCCACATTTTATTTTAAGTCTGAAATAAAACACCACAAGCTATTTGTGGTGTTTTATGTTAAAATGATTCAATTTAAAATGTTATGTATTTGTCTGTCTTTGTCTTTATTAAGATATTAACACATACATGAGCACTGGCTCTTCTTCCACAGGTCCATACACGTTATGCAATTATTTTTTTTACGAACTTATGTAGAATTGTCACAGTGACTCATTGAAGAAAGATTGGTTTATCTTCTCTTAGATTACATGTTTTACCATTCTGCTTTCCATGTTTTCCAAGTAACAGAGAAACGGTGATGGCCCTATATTCAAAGCTACAGGTGCTGGGAGACAGTCAAGGAGAAAACTATACAGAAATGTGGACAACTGATTTAATGAACAGTAAAGATGCCCTGTAGAGTTCTCTTGTGAACAAACAACATTTATTTTGATATTGAATGTAACTCGCCCCGGGAGGTTATTGCAAAGACATGTGCATTTGGACAGGGCTAACGGCCAACAACCAATCACATGAATCTCCCGCCCCTGACACACAAGCAGCGGTTTGATTGGCTAGAGCTTGTACTGGCATATGATTCGATTGGCTGACGCTTCTGCCGAGGCGTCAAAAGTTGAACATTGCTCAACTTTTGCAGCGAGCCACGCCAGCAACGCTCCGCGTCGCTTCCCACGATGCAGTTCGGCTAAAAGTGACGTCACCCCATTCAAAGTGAATGGGCAGAAGCGTTGGAAGCTTCAACGCACGCCGCTGTGTGGACGGGCCGAATGCATACATAGGTACTAGAGGAAGTATCAGAAAATGACTTTAGGATGTTCCTCTTTTCTTAGAAGCTACAGCCTGGGCAGTTGTTATGATGAACGGGAGTCACTCGTGTGTTAGATTAGACATCATAGCAGTGTCAGACAACAAGGGAGGAGTTTTAACATGATCCTAAAAGGTTAGGACACAACACTGACTGCACTTATGTAAAGTGATGTAACAAGGTCCTGGTTTAATGCGCATGCACTGTGAAGTCAAAGGTTTTAATTCATTTTGTATACAAAAAGTAATTATCTCCTCAATAAAGAGAAAATACATTCTTTGTTTGGTTTTTGGTTGATTCGTGTTCTTAAAAGATTGTTTTTTAATATTGTCTTCCATGGAATTGTTATGAACATTTGAACTTCCTCTAACTTATCTGTAACTTTCAAAGCAACTCATGAAAGGACGATTAGTTTATCTTCTCTTAGCCTAAACGATTTGAGAAGGCACATTATGCAAAGACACAATGACACTGCTTTACATGTTCGCCGTGCACGTAACAGACAAGACCAACGGTTATGGCCATGTATGCAAATCTATCGCTGTTGGGAGGCACTCATTGAAAAACTACTACAGAAATGTGAACAACTGCCAGAATGAACACTAAAAGAGCCATGTGAAGTTGTTTTTTAATGAACACTAAAAAGTTATGTTTATATTTAATGTAACTCCCCAAATCTCATTGTGTGTATCCTTAAGCTCTCAGAAACATGATGAAGATAACACGTGGGTTTGCTATCCTGGCTCCAAAATGGTGGAATGAGCTCCACATTGACATCAGGACAGCAGATAGCTTACACACCTTCCGGCGCAGACTGAAAACTCATCTCTTTCGACTCCACTTCGAGCGATAGAACTATTAACAAAGCACTTTTATACTAATAAAGGGCTGGCTTATCTAAAGCCAGTTGAGTAACACTTGAAATGTTTGGCTCTATGAAACCTGATGTACTTATATGATTCTGTTTTCTTCAAGGTTGTATCTTCTTGGTCGAATGTACTTATTGTAAGTCGCTTTGGATAAAAGCGTCAGCTAAATGCAATGTAATGTAATGATCAACATAAATGAGGGGAAAAACTGTACTTCATAAACTATAAACATTAAATAATGATGACGCATACCTGTTATAGATTGTAATGCATTTGGATAGGGCAAATGCAAAAGCACTACAGGAAATATCAGAATATCTCAAGACTCATTTTTATGTTTTGCCTTTTGTCTGTCACGAACTTGGTAAAGGACTCAAATGCACGACCCGGGAGACAGAGGTAAAGTATGAGTAAATACTTTATTTTCAAAAATAGGAATACAAAACAAGATCGACACTTTCGACAAGACGAACTGACACAAGAGATAGAATGGGAGGGATGAACCTCTCTTTAATGGTCACACATGCAGAGCACACAGCACACAGTGAAATTTGGCCTCTGCTTTTAACCCATCCTAGTACCAGGAGTCTAGTACCAGGAGCAGTGGGCAGCTATTGTATAGCGCCCGCGCAATGGGAGTGAGGGGGGAAGGGGGGTGTCCGGTGCCTTGCTCAAGGGCACCACGGCAGGGCAGGAGGTGAACTGGGACCTCTCCAAGTAGCAGTCCACACTCCATATTTTAGGTCTGGTCGGGGACTTGAACCAGCGACCCTACGGCTCGCAGTCCAAGCCCCTACTTTTTTTTTTTTTATCTTTTATTATCAAAAATAGACATTTAACATCTCATCACAACTACATAAAGCATTGCTCATAATACACACATTCAATATTTCATATCACTAGCTTAAAGGTAGTGTGCCTTAAGTTTTCCGTTCAAAGTTGAAGCACAAAGCTCCCTCCTCATCCAGCTCAACTAGCCTGCTGCCATCCACAAAATCCTCGCAAAATGTGTCCTTTTCCACATGTATTAGCACAAGGTTAATGTCCCTTTTTACTGTCCTCTTCATTATATGCCACACCTTTGACATTTTACCCTCGAAATGGGCAATGTTCCTCCTTATTTGGACCGCACGCCTTGCATGGCTCAGAACATAATTTAAAAGATTCACATTGCATTCATCCTTCTTCTCAATCAGACCAAACAGCCACAGCTCCTTCCATTCCATTTCTCTCACATACCATTCATTCCAACATCTACCAATTAACTCTTTCATCCTTCCAAAAAAACCTACAAGCTCTTTACATTCAACAAACTCATGCAAACACGTTTCAACCTGATCCTTACACACATCACACTCTCTCTCAACAGTTGCATCAAAATGGCTAATGATCAGGTTGTTAAACACCCTATTATGCCTCAACAAAAAATCTAAATTATCACATTCAATACTGTTCCACTTAATTTTCACATTCTCCCACATTCTCCCACATTCTCCTGCCAGTCATACCATTCACAACACTCATCCACACTTTTTCTGATGCAGGTCTTCTAATCACATCCCCTTTTAACCATTTATCCACCCCTCTAGCACCCACACTCCCATTATTTACATACATTTCTCCCATCCATTCTTTCCTTACATCCTCCACACACCTTTCATCCCAATGTGTCTCTTGCAAGCAAATAATGTCTGAGTCACCTATCATTAAGGCCTGCTCTCTCCTGTCCTTGGACCTCAGCCCATTCCAATTGAAAGAGGAAATTGTCACCATTACAAGTGTTATTAAGGTTATTATTGTTTTCATTCTATTTATTTTTTGTCCGGACACTTTGCAACTCCTCCTGTCGCTTTCACCCGTCTTCTCTCCACCGCTTTCTCCTTATCGGCTTTCCTCTTTGCATTCAGCCTGCTGGATTCTCTCCTCATTCCTCTGCTCTTTAACCCAGCATTCGCCTCGCCAAAGATCTTCTCCTCTATGGGTCCTTTCATCTCCACCTCCTCGTCCTCATACTCCTCGTCGTCCCCTCCCTCCTCCATGTCCGACACAACCGAGCTGACCTCCATTCCCTCAGCCGTCTGTCCTCCGCCTCCTTCTCCTCCTCTCCTCCCACCGACAGCTCCTCCTCCAGCCTCAGGATCATGTTCAACTTCAACGTCCGCTTCAGCCTCGGTATCAGTTTATGCCCCCAGAATTACATCCACCACAGCCTCTACTTCAGTCTCAGCCAAACCTTCACCACTCCTCGCATTCTGTCCATCATCCGCAGCAGCCGGAACAGCAGCAGTATTGGCTCTGCTACTACCCATCTTTCCTTCGTCTGCTTTCCCCTTCTTCCTCCCTCCGTCTCCTCCACCATCCATGGCAGCCGCGTCAGCTTCTCTCTTTGCAGCAGCCGCCTCAAACACCGCCGCGACAGCAGCACA